GAGGGTCATGGGGAGCACCGAGGTGGTGCTCGAGACGACCGAGAGGATCCAGTAGGTTCGGAGTAGGATTCAGACTGCTCAGAGTCGGCAGAAAAGTTACGCCGACAAGCGTCGATCCGACTTGGAGTTCCAAGTCGGGGATATGGTTCTCCTGAAGGTGTCGCCTTGGAACGGCGTCATTCGATTCAGGAAGTGGGGCAAGTTGGGCCCGAGATTTATCAGACCGTTCAGGGTTGTAGCCCGGGTGGGCAAGGTGGCGTATAGATTGGATCTGTCGGTCGAGCTCAGCCAAATCCACAGCACTTTCCATGTTTCTCAGCTGCGGAAGTGCCTAGTGGACGATTCAGTAATAGTGCCTTTGAAGGATATTCAGGTTGATGACAGCCTGAATTACATTGAGCACCCAGTCGTAATCCTCGATAGGAAGTTGAAGGATTTGAGGAACAAGAGGGTGGAGCTAGTGAAGGTGCAATGGCAGCACCGCAAAGGCTCGGAATGGACTTGGGAGCCGGTGGATGAGATGATGGAGCATTACCCCGAGCTGTTTCAAGATTGAGCAGCAGACTTCGAGGACGAAGTCTATAATAAGTGGGGGAGATTTGTAGCACCTGGTTCCTGGTACGTAAATCTTAATTGAGTATTTTTCCTTTTTAAGCCTTGGACTCGGCGAGTCATAGGTCCGACTCGCCGAGTAGGGGCGGGACCCAGGACACGTTTAAGTTGGCGACTCGGCGAGTCCATATCCTGGACTCGGCGAGTCACCGCTGTTGATGAAACCCTAAGTTTCAGGGGTTTGCACCCTATTTAAACAACACATCCGCCCCAGGCCAGCCCCCATTCACCCCCCAGAGCTCCCAACCCTCGTTTAAGCTTGTTCTTTGAAGAGTTGAAGCATTTGTTGTGTGCTCTTGAAGGTTTTGAAGAAAAAGGGAAGTAGATCCAGAAGAAGGGAAGCCATCCAAGCAACATTGTATTCTCTCAGCAGTTCCATTGAGGTATATCCCATTTTCCCCCTGTTTCTATGCTTAAGGCTTCATTTAAGACATTCTTGAGTCATTCCCCAAGCTTGTATGTGCATAATACTTCGAAATAAGTTGATTAGTCTCTAGATCCAAGCATAGTTGAGCTCCAGGAGCTCAGATCCACTACCTTTATGAGCCTATATTGCAGATAAACCTTAGATCTACTCTTTTGGTGCATTTTGAACCCTAAAAACACCATAGATGGATATTTACACGTAAAGTTGGAAACTTTACGTGTTATTCATGCTCTAGGAGCCCAGATCTACGAATGACATGGATTGGATTCGAGCAAAATCACATTTTTAGCTCTTGCATGGAGCGGACTCGGCGAGTCCAGTCGCAAGTCTCCGGGTTTGTCCCCTTTTTGTTACGTCGAGTCGTGTGGTGAGTCCAGGAAGGACTCGGTGAGTTGGAAGCCAAAACTCACCCATAGTGGAACTCGGCGAGTCAATGCCCAGACTCGGCGAATTCAAGGCAATCTCCTTAGATCAAGATCAGACTTGGCGAGTTGTTCATACAACTCGGCGAGTCACAGTATAACTTGTTCATAGGATGAAGATGAACTCGACGAGTTGTTCATACAACTCAGCGAGTAGGATGAAGGACTTGAACATCAGTTTGGAAGGAGAACTCGTCGAGTCGACGCCTAACTCGACGAGTAGAAACAGAATTCAGGACAGTCGTTTGGACATGGACTCGGCGAGTCGGGTCAACTGGAAGTTGAATCTGACTTTGACTTAGGGCATGATCAGGGGTAAATGGTCATTTTACCCAAAGGTCAGTTAGCAGTTTTTGACTAAGGGTTTGGTGGGAATACAACTGGAGGATTTCCGGAACAGCAACAGCAGCAGTCAGACTATTACCACGAAGATCAGCAGCTACTCCGAGGTGAGTTACCTTCCAGTAGCGGTGGGTCTAAGGCCACAATGCCGACCCACCAGTAGGAGATGTATGATAGATGATTGTCTTTGTGATATCATCTAGGTATGCTACTACCTGATATGTTATATGCTAGCATGATATGTTGTATGTGATAGTAGTAGAGTTCGGTTGTTAGGACCGAAGGGTAGTCAGCACCCCAGAATGGCTTGACACGGGTAGGTCAGCACCCTAGAATGGTTTAACACGGGTAGGACGGCACCCCAGAATGGTCGCACGGGTAGTCGGTACCCCAGAATGGCCGTACCGGGTAGTCAGGCACCCCAGAATAGCCTGTCAGTATGTATGTTATGTATTGTATGGTATGTGGTATGATGGGGGAACTCACTAAGCTTTGTGCTTACAGTTTACAGTTTTGGTTTCAGGTACCTCTTCATCGAAGGGGAAGGAGCTGGCTCGGTAGCGGCACATCATGCACACACATTGGTTTCCGCATTTACTAGATTTCCTTGGGATTTATACTATGATGTTTCGATTGGTTGTATGACTTGATTTTTGAACATGGTTTATGTTGTGATGTAGTTTGGTCAAACAATGTTTTTATCTATTAATATTTTCTAAAGTAATGTTTTAAAAACAAAATTTTTGGGATGTGAAAATTGGGTCGTTACAATTTAATAACAAAATATGTACCAAGAACCAGGTGCTACAGATTTTGACCAATTTCCGCTAAACAACCTAATTGTAATCGGTTTGAGGCCGCCAAACGATTAATTAGCCGCCAAGGCCGATTTCTGCAACACTAGGTTATACTGCTCCGTGCGGTAGCCAACAAACCCTAGAGTATTCCATATATGACTTGAGGGTATGGCAGGGCATGCCAGAATCATATTGAGGACCCGGGAACATTCCAGATACGAGTTGAGGGTCGGGCACGGTATGCCGGACTCGTACTGTAGGCTCAGGAGCATTCCAGATACGAGCTGAGGGTTGGGTAGGGCATACCGGACTTGTATTGTGGGATCGGTGGCAATCCATATGTGAGCTGTGGGCTCGGAAGGCAATCTAGACTCATACTGTGGGCCTATGGGTAATACAATATGTATAGTTGTGGAACCAGTACATGTTGTTATTTGTATATGTGTTATGTGCATTGTATCAGTATTTTGGGGGAACTCACTAAACTTTAGGCTTACATATTCAATTTTTGTTTCAGGTACATCATATGATCGCGGTAAGGCAAAGGCGTGATCATATAACTCCTCATGTTTATGACTTGTTTCTAGGATACTCTGATATTATACTATTTTGAAAACAAGTTTTGTAATAATTAATGGTTTTGAAAAAATTAAATTTGGCATGATTTTTATGGTTGTTACAAGTTGGTATCAGATCCTTGGTTTATCAAGAGCAAAGCCATTGGTGTCAGGTTTTGGTGCAGTTGCAGGTGCAGGTGTAGGTGTAGGGTTCTCTTTTAGGGTTTCAAAGGGCTTGAAATCAGTATAAGGTTTATCAAGAGTTTCAACAAGTGATGACGGGAAGCTGTTGGCAGCAACTTCTGCATGACTTTTGGCAACTTCTTTCAAAAGTAATTGTTTATATAACGCAGCAACTCTTGAGGTGTATTTGGCTTCAATTTCCCCTCCATCTGTCTAACCATGTTGCTTGAAGAACACATGAGCTCGATTGTTACCCCCAAAACTCATCATCTTTAATTGATCTGGTGTCCATGAATCTAAATTCGTTGACCTATAAAACTTCAAGTTAGAATTCTTTTGATTGTAAGAAGTAGATCTTTCCTAATTTACAATATTGGCATTCCAACTACCATACCCCCTTGCAAGTTTTTAACAAACCAATATTATCATCCAACTTAAAAAAAGTTGCCTCCTGATGACAACTAAAGTCAACCAGGATAGATAGGATGGGGTATTATTTGTTAAGTGTAAAATAGATTCTTGTTGGCCAAAGGAAAAGATCACAACTTTCTTAGTCCCTAGTTCTCAAGAGAGTTTTCCCACTAGAGTAACAAGTCCTAAATTACTCATTGGTTATGCAACATTATGCCATTCAATTAAGCTAAAAACCTGCTATAAGAATTATGTAAGATCCTGGATCGATTCATCATTTCTATAGAGGAGCAATCATCAAAGAAACACAATGAACATCATCGAATACAAGGGCCATGTTCACATGATTTTTTACACCAAAACCCGACACCAATGATTTTTATGGATGTTACAGCAAATGCTCCTCACTACGATGTCTGAAGATATACGACAGTTTGTGAACACAATGAACATCATCGAAGAAACATGTATGTCAAATGCAACAATAGAAGGACGAGTGCAAATGACTGATAATGAGTTTAGCCTAATTGAGACCTGTATGAAATTATTTGAAAATCATTTTGACACTGTTAGTTTGTACTAGATGCAAAATCTCTGTAATCATGTAAATATACTCTAATTTTAAATATTTTAATGTCATTTCAAACTTAATTATATAAAAGAAATGGTAGGGTTTTCTAAAATGGCAATGTTTTTCATTAACATTAGTTAAACGTCGGTTACAAAACTTTTACATACTTATATTGGTTTCCACGAATTATGAAATTGTATGAGATACATATTTTGTTTGTGGCCGATAAAATCTTTTCTAATTCTAACATCTTTTAGACTATCCCATTATGCTTGAAGCTCATCAATCTCTGCATTTGCATCTTGAATCCACTTCTCAACTTCTTTAACTTTTTTCATAGTTTCAGTAACCCAATTTCCCTATTTTTAAAGTCTAAACAATTTTACTTTGGTTTTGGCTGTTAAATTAATAGGATGTTAAATATGTTGTGTATACGTTAATGTTCATTTGATGTATGCTTTTTCGGTTAAAAAAACCTAATTTTATGATCTATTTTCTCTTTATTTTTAGCTTTTATTTTTCGAGTTTCCACTTTAATTTCTAAGAATATGATGATATTTGGGTTTTAAAGATCTTTTTAGTATGTACATTACTTATTCTTTATGATCCAGTAGAGTTATAACATTGAATTTACATATAGCATAAAAACTTCATTTCATTATTTGATTGTGGAATATCATGACTTATTCATTCGTCGTTCCATTCCATCCGATCCAACCGATTTCCATTTTGGTATGTATTTATTTTACATCTTCCATATGCAGTCACATATAAACCCATTTTTCTTTTAATTTTTATTTTATTTTACATCTACCTCTATAGTGTATACAAATTAATTGTTGACATCCTTAGTTGTGTGTTGGGCAAAAGAGTGAGCAAGTGGATGCTTTATATTTTGTTTCAAATGAAAGAAAGAGTTATGATGGTTTTTGTTGATATATTTTGATGTTTTGCATTTTATTTTAAGTGAAAGAGTGAAACAAACTATGGTTTGTGTTTTGTGATTTAATATGTTATTTTTATTATTTTTTAACATGGATATAATCTATACGCCATGGTTTAGTTCATCGTGAACTTTTTAGCATGATTACACGTAATGGATTTTAAGTTATAGTATTTTACTAAAATATTAAAAAGAAATTGTTTTGATTTTAATAAAAAATGAATAGAGTTGAATTACTAAAATAAAATTATTAAAATATATAAATGTCCAATTATTTACTGCAAATATTAAAAAGAAATTGTATTGATTTGATAGAAAATTAAATTATTGTCTAAAATACATTAATAGATAAAAAATTATTAAAATATATAAATACCCAACTGTAATAATGCATGATCTAAAAAATTGACAATTAAACGTTATATACTCGAAAATATTAGGATGATGTTTTCATTTTTCAAAATTAGATATACAGACGACAGTAGTAGCACACAGTAAACGATTACTCGAGTTCAAGACTTGCAACTCTCTAATCTCCTCTTTTGTTCAGATCGGCGATTACTGTGTACTGATCACCTCTTTCGTTCATCTGAGATTGGCGATCCCATCTCTGGACTCAGATTCGTATTTCGCAGTTCCCCCAAAAGCCCTGTCACTCCGTTCATACCTCTCAACCTTCGCCACCGCCGGCCTCCGGCTCCGAGTTCCAGCATCCAAACTTCGGGTACGAAAGCACAAAACCCTATCCCGCCATTGAAGCCGATCACAAATGGACATCAAATACCTTTGGACCGGTCCTTAATCTTCTCTTCATTTTGTTTGGTTGTTCGTGAAGGATGCAAGGTTGAGGGAGGGTTTTCTTGCTGTAGATTGGAAAATGGAAGGTTTCAAGTCTAAATTTAGATTAGCAACAATTGTCATTCTTTCCATTGGAATTGGTCTACTTGCCGTATATGATTTATTGAAGCCGATTACAAATGGTTGTAACATGACATACATGTACCCAACTTACATTCCAATATCAGCTACAGAAAGTTCATCTTCTTCAAAGTATGGACTGTATTTGTATCATGAAGGCTGGAAAAAAATCGATTTTAAAGAGCATCTTAAACAACTTAATGGGGTTCCTGTTCTTTTCATCCCTGGAAATGGAGGTAGCTACAAGCAGGTGAGTTATGTAACTTTAGCTTGTTTTCTTTTTCCTTTTCTCCCCCTATGTTACTAATACGTCTTTTTATTTTAAACTGATTCTCACAGGTCAGGTCCATAGCAGCAGAATCTGATAGGGCTTATCAAGGTGGCCCACCTGATTCTATGTTGTACCAAGAAGCTTCCTTAATGCTTGAGGAGGGAGTAGATATGGATGAAAAAGATATTCCAAAAGTCACCCAGTATACTCGCAGGCTTGACTGGTTTGCAGTTGACCTTGAAGGTGAACATTCTGCAATGGATGGCCAGATACTTGAGGAACATACAGAATATGTTGTATATGCCATTCACAGGGTATATTATCTTTATTATATATCTTTATATAAATCGCCTATAAGTAATAATGTCATATTGATTGTAGATTCTGGATCAATATAAAGAATCTCGAGATGCTAGAGAAAAAGAAGGTGCTTCTGAATCTGGTAGTTTGCCTAACAATGTCATATTAGTTGGCCACTCTATGGGTGGTTTTGTTGCTAGAGCTGCAGTTGTGCACCCTAATTTGAGAAAGTCATCAGTTGAAACTGTTGTCACCTTATCAACTCCACATCAGTGAGTTTTTCTTGGACTTTCTGATTATCATTGTGTCCATAATCGTTATGTAATTTTCTTTACTCTTGGTTCAGGTCACCCCCCATTGCATTGCAGCCATCATTGGGCCACTATTATGAGTACATAAATCAGGAATGGAAAAAGGGTTATGAGGCTCAAACATTATCTCGAGTGATTGTTGTCTCCATTTCTGGTGGTGCTAATGATTATCAGGTGTGATTATTTGACATCAGTCACTTGTACAAACCCTAAAAGAACCCTAACTAAAAGATGTGTTCTTTCTGATTGTAAGTAGGTAAGGTCAAAGCTAGAATCAGTTGATGGTATTGTCCCATCTACTCATGGTTTTATGATCAGTAGCATGGGCATGAAGAATGTATGGCTATCAATGGAGCACCAGGTTATCTTATGGTGTAATCAACTTGTTGTGCAAGTGAGCCTTACTTCCCAACTTTTTTATATTTTATAAAAAGAGGGTCTATGTCTATTGTCTAATTTGTTAACTGGGTTTCAGGTTTCACATACTCTTCTTAGTTTGGTTGACCCTGAAACTGGTCATCCCATTTCTGGGTCAAGGAAAAGACTATCAATTCTTACAAAAATGCTTCATAGTGGAAGTTTTCCAAAGCAAAAATCAGGTTTACTTCAGCAGCATTCATCACATCTTCCTTTACACAAAGAGAGAAAATATGCTGGTGCGTTTTATATTATACCATTTCTATTTTAGTAAAAATAACTGGAATAAGAATAAAGATCTCACTTGTTTGGCTTCCAGGGTGTCCTAGTAAACTACAATGGAGTGATGAGGGACTTGAAAGGGATCTTTACATCAAGACACCAACAGTAACTATTTTAGCAATGGATGGCAGAAGGCGTTGGCTGGACATAAAAGAACTGGTTAGTTAAATATTATTATATATATGCTTTAATGACAAGAAAGAAAATATACTATATTTGATGCTAAGGCAAGAACATACATATAATATAAGACTATAAGTTATAATCTCCTATTGTCAGGGGTCAAATGGAAGAAACAAGTTTGTTCTTGTAACAAACCTTCTTCCTTGTTATGGGGTTAGACTTCATCTTTGGCCTGAGAAAGGAACTTCTGCATCAGATTTGCCTCTCAGCAAAAGGGTTGTTGAAGTGACATCAAAGATTGTGCAGATTCCTTCAGGACCAGCACCAAGGCAGGTATGTTATTAATATTTCCACTTTTGCCCTTTTTGTGCTTTAATTCTTATAATAATATGAAGGGTATGACTGTCATGTCATGTCTATATATAGATTGAACCAGGAAGTCAGACTGAACAACCACCACCATCAGGTGTTTTTTGGTTGGAATCAAAGGATATGCATGGCTTCAGATTCCTCACTATCTCAGTTGCACCAAGCCCTGTAATGTCTCCTTACACTATGACATATGAATTTTGTTGAGATCAAGAAAGGAATGGAATGTAATGATTCATTCCATTACCTGGCTTATTCCATTCCATCCAACCAAACATACCCTTATTATCCATAACAAAGATTAAAAGTGATCGTATAACTTACAGTGATTTTTTTAAATATCCAGACTGTTTCAGGGAGACCTCCACCTGCAGCTTCAATGGCAGTTGGGCAGTTTTTCAACCCACAAGAAGGGCGTAAACAGTTTTCTCCTCACTCATTGCTTCTCTCTATGTATTCTCGGAAGGTTAGTTTACTACTTTCATGAAATACTCACTTCACTTCTTGATGATCCATTTAAGTTCAAGTGACCCACTTGGATTAAAACATTTTCAGGACATTTTCATTAAGGAGGATCACCCTATTGCAATGAATATTACATTCGGTATCAGTCTAGGGCTTTTTCCTGCTAGAGTGTCTCTGGAAACAACAGGCTGCGGGATAAAAAACCCTGGACTTCCTGTTGAAGAGGCTGGAGACATGGATAGTGGAAGTAAGCATTTTTTTTTTTCCCTTTATATATATATATATATATATATATATATATATATATATATATGTCCTGATGGTTGTTATTTCTTGATCTGAAAGGTCTTTGCAAGCTTCGATGCTTTCCACCTGTAGCCCTTGCATGGGACCCGACAGCTGGCATTCACATTTTTCCGAATTTATATTCTCGTATGATTGAAGTGGATTCATCACCTGCACTTTGGACCTCAGCTCATGGATCTGAAAAAACCAATGTTTTGTTACTGGTAAATTTACATTTATATGTTATGTTATCAATTTTGTAAATTCTATAAACTATTTAAATTTTTTTTAACCCAAATGTTATTGATATGCAGGTGGACCCACATTGTTCTTATAAAACTAGTGCTGCTGTTTCTCTAACTGCTGGTGCTCGTAGATTTATGCTTTTATACGCCTCCCAGGTGAGCATTTTATATTGATTTTGGTACAAAGGAATGGAATGAGTCATTACATTCCACTATCATGTTTGGTTGGCTTGAAGGAATGGAATGAGTCATTCAAAACTAAATGAAAACAATGTAGTAAAATAAAATTGATTTTTGTGATGCAGATTATTGGATTTGCATTTGCTGTAGTTTTTTTTGGTCTGATGAGGCAAGCGAATGCATGGGAGCTTGATCTGCCTGTTCCTTCGTTACTATCTGCAGTGGAATTGAACCTTGGAATGCCGATTCCGTTTCTTGTCCTTGCTGTTTCCCCCATTCTTATTGCTTTGTTTTATTCATGTCTAAGCACATCCCCATTTCCTGCGGTTTCTAGCTTCTTTTTTGTTTCAATCATTTGCTACTTAATAGCAAATGGGATCATAATCTTTTTGATATTAACCACCCAGATACTCTCCCATGTGGTTGCTAGAGTACATGTTTTCTTTAAAACAAGGTCCGTTAATCTCTCTCAACATTTGTGTTTTCATCTCTTAACTTAGTATGACTGACTGGATAGGTTGTACTGTGTTTGACATGTATTGAACCGAGACCTGACACACACTGATGCCAATAGGACAAAAAGTACATATTTTGTCCCACCTGGAAAGAGGTGTACTAGGTGGGACAGGGGCACTTATGTCAATGGGACATGAACTGGTTTTCGATCTTTCATCTGTGCAAAAGACGAATATGCCCTCTTATCGTCAATTGTAAATCGCCTTATACAGCTTGTCCATTCCATCCTTTCTAACAAATGCATCAGCCTAAATGACTTGTTTGCCCTTAACTATCTTTCATGGATAATTTTGCAGGTGGAAATGGTGGATAGGTGATAACTCAAATTCCACTAACTTTTTCCCATTTAAGGTAATTACTATTTAATTTTTAATTAGTTATCCAAATACAGCTTCTAACCTGTGTAAATCTCTGAAACCATTTATGTTCGTATTATTTGTACGACAGGTGGCAAGGGTTATAAATGTCAATTCATCATTAGCCACATCACTTGTTGCCATTGCTTTAGTTTGCTTTGTCCATCCAGCTTTAGGTCTCCTTATCTTACTCTTCTCCCATGCGCTGTGCTGCCACCACGCCTTATGCAGGTAAAATTCCAATTCTACCCCTACCTAACATATGCAGTTTCCATAATAACATCTCGCTTAATCGTTTGTTTTTCTGTATGTCACAGTTTTTTTACCGCTTCCAGCAAGGCTCGTAGTGAGGACTTATTTGGATTTGGAAATAACAAAAAGTCATTTAAATTCAAGAATGAAGAATCGGAGGAGGGATTGCCTGTGGATGAGAACAGCTCCAGTACCCCGGACTCTACACGAAGCTATGGTGATACACAACTTGAGATATTTCACCATAGACATGGATTGTTAATCTTGCATCTTCTTTCACTCCTCATGTTTCTTCCTTCACTTGTCGCTTGGTTTGAGGTATAATTCAGTATCAACTAAATTACAAATTTGGCCCCAAAAATTACATCTTCAGTCCAAATTTTTATATCGAGTCCCAATGTTGTCCTTAGGTTTGCATTTTGTTGCAGTATTTGGACTAAACCTGCAATGTTGAGTAAAACATAGGGACTATATATATTCATTCCATTCCTTCTCCGATTCCCATTAAGTTTAAATGACAATTTTACTCTTACATTAAAAAAGCAAATTTGACAATGAGAAAAAAGAATAAGAAAAAGGGGCAAATAGGTAAACTGTTGGTGTCTCCCTTTTTGTTTTGCAGAGGTTAAGTATGGGGCACAACTTTCCATGGCTGTTGGATTCCATCCTGTGTATGGGTGTAGTCCTCCACGGAATCTGTGATTCCAAACCGGAGTTCAATGTGTTCTTTCAGATTCCGGGAATGAGAGGGTATGAAATCAGACAAGGATTTGTATACCTTGTTGCAGGATTCGGTTGCTATCTTTCAGGTTTGGATTTGGCTCCTTACAAAGCTTTTTATGGGATGGCTGTTATTGGAGTCATCTCATTTGTTTTCAGAATTATAGAGAAAAGAAACCGAAGAGGTGGAGAGCCTTATTATAGTAATAGAAAGCACTCTCATCGACACTGATAATTGGCATTTTTTTCCCATGGTTTTGTACTTCATTGTACAATTTAAATGTAATAAGTTAATGATAGGAACTTGTACTACTATACTATGGTTTGACTTGACACTCCAACAATTTTGACTTTTCCCATATTTTTTGAGAGAATTTGTTTGATTGTTGTGAAATTTTGTGTCGTTTCATTATAATACCATGACATAAACAATAAGAGAGAATTTGATAGATGTTTCCAGGACTTGCATCAATAATGAGAAAACACCAAAAACTATCCAAGATTCATTCATCTCAAATTCACAATTTATATCTACAAAAATAACTACACATTCAGATTTCATGGGTTTCTGCCTGTTTGACAAGCATTGCATTTGCAGCATGCTTCCTACCAGCAACATGAGAATCATACACAGTAGGGCTGCTACAAACAACATTGCACACCGTACAAATCCTTAAAGCATCCAATGCTCCTCCTCCTTGCAAAATCTTCTGCCTCTTTGCCTCCATATCCTCATCACCTCCCACTCTCTTTGTCTTCCTGTCACTTCCATTTCCATCCACATTTACAACTTTACCCTCTTCATTTTGCAACATCCCTCCTCCTTCCACTGGTTTTTCCAAATTCTTTTTGTGTTTCTTTCCTGATAGGTGGGTTTTGAAGACATCGTATGTGTCACAACTGATCCCACAAAGTTGACACCACACGGGTTTACCTTGTTGTGAATTGATAAGGGTCAAGGAAGGATCCGGTATTTGGTCTGATTCTTTTAGTTTCTTGAGGTGTTTCTTCCCTGACATGTGTGTGCTGAGGACTTCAATGCTGGAGCAGTTTATTTTGCAGAGTTGACACTGTATGGGGTTGGGATTATTATTCGATTGAGCCTCAGGCTCAGGAGTAGGACCCTTAGGGTCTGATTCTGATGTGGTGTTAACAACCCCATTCTTACCCACAAGCTGCATCATTGCCTATTTCAAAATTTTCTGTTTCTTATTAAGGCCACATTGTACTTTGAAAAATCTACCTACTTGTAGCAGTAAAATTTGCAATCACATTTCTATAATTGGGTAAAATTTCAAAGTACAATTCTATTAGTATTATAGAGAGGAATGAAAGTAGGTAGCTACTTCTTGCACTTACCTTTGCAGAATGCTTTTTACCAGCGAGATGAGCCTGGAAGGCATTTTGATTATTGCATACCGCATTGCAAGTTTCACAGTAGAGAAATTTATCAACTGATGCTCCATTTTGCAATAACTTGTGCTTCTTATTCTCCAATTCTTCTACTGAAGTTTCACTTGCAGTGGGTGTGGGTGTTAGTGTTGGTGGTGGCATTTTTGGTGAAATGACAGATGAAATGGCAAGTTTTTGCATATTCTTCAAGTGTTTTTTACCTTGTTTGTGTTTCTCAAGTACATCTTTAGTGTCACAAGTAACATTGCATACCTCGCATTGCATAGACTGGATGCTTTTGGGCTGAATTCTTGTTGTTACTATGGCATCATTCGCAACATGCTGAGTCACATCAACAAAGTTAAATAAGTTTTATAGCTAACGTAACTGATTGATTCAGTTATGATGCTAAAAGTGAGCTGTGATTGATCATTGTAATTCTTTATTGCTCTAAACACTATTCAAGACAATATTTTGTTGATATTATTTTAACCTAGAAAACTCCTCACATAACAACATAAGATTATAATCTATATTGATAAGTGGCAGAATACACCATTTTAATTGAAAATTAAAGTGCATACATCTGAATCTCATTTGATTGTATTTACACATTTGAAATCAAAATGAAATGCGTACACATTCCATCAGAGGAATCATGAATTTCTATATGCAATCTTTAACATCAAGATTGTAGATGATAAACCAGACAAAAAAATTACATAGATGGATAGATAAAACTTTACATGTTCGTATGTAGTTGAATCAGTAGTCTGTGGAATCATCGCACTCTGTGGCCCTGCAGCTCTGTCAAGCTCACATGCGGGTCGGGCTCCCAACCCATCGAATCCATGCGAACCCTCGTACATTGAGATTGAGGCATCAGCGTGAGGAGAGTTAGGGTTAGGGTTAGAAAATGAGCTGGTGATATCTAATTGTTACTGTGCTCCGGACATTTGGGGTTCAAAGTCAATACTTTTGGTTTTACGAAATTAGGGCTTTAGATTGTGGAATCTGCAGAGTCTGCGAACGACAGAATCCGAAAGCAGTTCTTGTTTTAGGGGGTGTTTGAGAAAATTTTTTAAACCTAAAAGATTGGTTGTAAGTTCTTTTTTAGTACACAAAAGCTAAAATGAGTTTTAAAAAGTGTTTGGGTAGTATTTTTTGATTTTTGAGTGTGATTTAGCTTTAAAAGTTCAAAAATTACAAAAAATCACACTTTCTTAACTTTTGAAAACTCACCATTTTCTTCTTTACAAAAAATTATTTTGAAAAAAACTTTTGCATCATCCAAACATTTTTATATCATTTTAGAAAAGTTAAAAGACAAAAGTTATTTAAAAAGTTTTTCCAAACACCTTCTAAACTCAAATAAACGAACCGGTTCCAATCTGGCTCGTTTAACTCTTTAGTTTGTTAACTCGATCTGAATAAAGAGAAAAACATTGAAATTGTAACTTGTAAAGCTTGATTTTAGATATGGAAAATTAAAGACAAAACTAAAAATTTGGTCCTGCGGTATTCAAAAAACTTTGGATAAGATCCATGTGGTATTCAAAAAACTTTGGATAGAATCCAAAAAGTTTCCGACTTGCATGCAAGGTTCAAAATCAAAAAATTTATATGATTTTGGTCCAAAAAACTTGAAAAGACGGTTATGCCCTTTGATTTTCTTTTTTTTCCTTTTTTATAATTATTTTAATACCATTTTGATTTAAAAAAAAACAAAAAGAATTTGCTACCAACCTCTGTGTGTGTGTGTCTCGTTACATCCTCACCAAAAAATAACCCATCTCAAGAAGAATCGGAAACAAAAAATTATCGCTAATAAAACTCCAAGAAGTGTTATTGGTTTTGAAGAATTCTCTAGTATTTTTCAATCGACTACCTTCTTGGAAGCGTAGATCCAAATCCCACATCAGCCAAGATAGAGGCGGTGGCTACATATCCGATGAACCATGTTCATGTTGTCAGCGACATCACTGAGCTACCTCCTAAGCCTAAAGCTACTGTCCCCCAGCCAGATATCACAAAACATATTCAATCCAAGATTCAGGGTTGCCAAAAAACATATTTCCATGCCTCTCTCTAAGAGCATTCAGCCAAGCCTAAAGATCTGCAAGAGCTCAAGGAGCTGCTTAATCCAATCTCTAGGATCACAATTGATGCATCCAAATCTCTTACAATTTTCCATTATTTTAGTTCCAACTCCTTAATTGTGTCTATTTGCTGAATTGGATGTCTCAGGAAAGAAAATTGGAATCGTATGCTTTCAATGTTTTTTTTTTTTGAAAGAGAGTATGCTTTCAATATTGATAATTCTGAATAAATAAATCAGAAAAGGAAGAAGGAAAACAATGCAAATGCACTCCAGGTGCTCGGTGAAACACCTGAAAGAAAAGTACCTTTAGATATTTCAATATATGAAAGAAAAATACCTTCACTGAGGTTCTGGAAATAAAATACTCCTAAAATACAAACACATATCACAAAAGAAAAGTGAAGGGAATCGGGAATGAGTTTATTGTTCAGCCAAGAAGAAATCTGGAGTGAGAGCCACCCACAAAAAAGAATTTCAATGGATATTGCAGTCAGCCAGTCATCAAAAATAGATCAGAAGAATATTAGCCTTATTAAACCTGTTGAGAGGAATACGATTGACTTTTGAAGTTGGGCAAAAAAAAAATTAAAGAATTTGGTTTTTTAGCAAATTCTTTTTGTTTTCATTTTTTAAAACTCAAAATAGTATTAAAATAATTATAATAAAAAAAGAAAATTAAAGGGCATAACCGTCTTTTTAAGTTTTTTTGGACCAAAATCTCAGAAAATTCTTGATTTTGGACCTTGCATGCAAGTCGCAAACTTTTTGGATACTATCCAAAGTTTTTTGAATACCATAGGGACCAAATTTACAGTTTTGTCAAAATTAAATGACACTATACAAGTCAAATATGCATAAGAGCTTGAATTGAGAAAAATAATATAAAGTTAGTGAATTATATAGTTTTTGTTTTATCGGAGATTTTGATTATGCAAAATAATAATAGCAAATTCCATAACTAACATGAACTGTTGATTTTAATATTGGGTTATTTTTTTACACTCTGTTTCTAATTTGTTTCATTGATGATCATTTAACCGTTGTCGCTTAATCTTTGATAATGTGTTAGCTGACGTGTCAATCTTTGATAATGTGATAACTGACATAACATGATGATGTGATATTTTTTTGGTAACATCACATTCTTGGCGTCAGATTTAAGAAAAAAAATGTAAATTGTAGTGACTTTAAGATAATTATCTAAAATATAATTATTTTTGTGCAATTTCGTATTATCAATTTCAAAATTAAACTTATACAATCATATTTCTATGTATGCATGTTATGGGAATGCAATATTTCTATGTATGCATGTTATGGGAATGCAATTGGCTTGTGCATTTCACACAAGATCCTTGATGGGATTGTATTGTGTATATTTTTGAAAGAGTGGAGTTAGAAGAAGTCATGTATCCAAAGTTAATGATACCATATCTCAATCTAGCGATAACATTCAAGCCTAAATACAAACCTTTTTGTACAAGCCTTGCCCTTACTTAACAATGATAGAGTTAGACCCGATAATGTGTCTCCAAGCTACGAGCTTGTCGTAGGAAGAGATATGGTACATTTAAGTTTCGATACACGACTTCTTTAGCTCCACAAGCCATGTTACTCCACCCTTTCAGAAATATGCACAATGCACCCCAAGGATCTTGTGTGAAATGCCAAGCCAATGGTAACCCCACCACATTTGAAATTGTTCACTTGAACACGTTATATGATTACATGTACTAAACTTATTAAAGCTAGGTTCAAATGGCAAAACATGTTGATCAAATCGATGATCAAGATGCTTTGGGAACTCGTCAATACGATAATGAATCAACGCTCTGACATATTTAGCATCAACATCATTACAATCGATAGAAATATCATTCTTAATTGGTCGTGCAAAAGGATAAAACTAAGTCGAGGTTTGAGATATAGATTTTTCTGAGAACCAATAACATGTCTACGACTCGGGTGTGTTATCTCAATTGGTATTGGTGTAGTACAAGATGATTGGAACATAGGGAATGATGACGTGTTGATTTAAGGAAGAAAGATCGAATGTGTTTAAATGAGATGGAGTTGGGGGAGTAGGTTAATGTTCTCTTTGGAAATGTTTTCCGCAGAGAATTGTGGTACAAGTCCAGAATATATTGTTAAGGCAAAATATATAAAAGACCTTAGGCCATTTTATATTGTTAATATCACGATGAGATGCATGAATATCAAAACTTATATTGTTAATATTATGATAGATATGCATGAATATCAATGCCAAAGATCTGATCACACGTGAATATAAAAGCCTAACTATTTTTTTACTACATTTTGGATAACTATAAAAGTCATTATTATTATTATTATTATTATTATTATTATTATTATTTTCAATTTTGACACTCATAATATAATTACACCAAAAAATATCACGTCAACATGCCATATCAGTTATCACGTCATAAAAAATTGTTACGTCAGCTTGCAACCGAATAAATGGTCTAACATTGAAACAAATTGGAAAACGAATCGTCCGAATCAAGAAAAAAAAATAACGCAATTGTCAAAAATCAAATTTTTGTACAAACTTAAAAGACTTTTGTAGAATTTCCCGAGCAATAACAACAAAAGTAAGTCAATAAACATGATCCACTTCCATAGATACAAAATAAGTGGGATAAACATGATGAAATAAACATATATTTCTCTTGAATTATGGTTACATGTGTCAATTTCGATTCTAACATATTAATTTTGTAAAACCACCTTCCCATTTCCAAAACACACCACACCCATTATTATATAATCATCATAACAACCTTAGTTATCCATTCTAAAACCTTCCAATTTTGTGACGAGATTCTTCTCAAAGCCACAATTTTCATCAAATTTCTACAATAACACATCCATCCAGATTACTAAATAACAAAAGGGTTCATGTTTCTTGACCAGTCAATCCAGTTTCTGCCTGTTTCACAGCCATTGCAGCATGCTTCTTACCAGCAAGATGAGAGTTATACACAGTCGGACTGCTACAAACAACATTGCACACAGTACAAGTTCTTAAGCCATTGGATGCAGCTCCTCCTTGAAGAATCTTCTGCCTCTTTGCCTCCAATTCCTCATCACTTGCCACTCTCTTTGTCTTCCTGTTACTCCCATCCACCAAATTTACAACTTTACCCTCTTCCTTCCCTTCATCTTGCAGCATCCCTTGCTCAGTGTCAGGTCCAATTCCTTTTTCTGATTTCTCCAAATTCTTCTGGTGTTTCTTTCCTGAGAGGTGAACTCTGAGCATCTCATAAGTGTTGCAACTGATCCCACAAAGTTCACACAACAGCGGGTTACCTTCATGTGAAATGACGGATTTGCCCTCGGTAGACTCCGGATTCTGCATACGTTGGGTGTCCAGTGAAGTGACAAAGGTCAAGGGCAGATCTGATATTTGCTCTGATTCTCTAAGTTTCTTGAGGTGTTTCTTCCCTGACAGGTGTGTGTTGAGTAGTTCAAAGCTTGTGCAGCTGATTTTGCAAAGTTCACACCTCAAGGGGTCAGGATTCATCCGAGCCTCATGACCCTTGTTTGATGTGGGGATAAAAACGTCATTTGTACTCGCACCCTGCATGATTGCCTGCATACCATTGTACTTTGAAAAATCTACATTTTGCTATTTCTTGCATTTAATCCTAACAATCATATATGAGTGTAACTTTCTTTAAGTTTACCTTTGAAGAATGCTTTCTACCAGCAAGATGAGCCTGAAAGGCATCTTGATTATTGCATACCACATTGCAAGTTTGACAGTAGAGCAATTTAGCAACTGATGCTCCATTTTGCAATAGCAAGTGTTTTTTATTCTCCAACTCTCCTACTGAAGTTGCAGTAGCAGTGGGTGGTGTCACTTTTGGTCCAATGACAGATGAAATGGCAATCTTTTGCATATTCTTCATGTGCTTTTTTCCTTGTGTATGTTTCTTGAATATGTCCCTATTTGTACAAGTAATATTGCATACCTCACATTGAATGGGTTCTATGCTTTCAGGCTGACTTGTTGTGTTCACTACATGCTGTGTTTCATCACCGATGTTGCCAGCTGCCTGAAAACATGTCCAGGTATTACATTCACATTCACATTTCACCAAAATCAAATGAATACTGAAAACCAAAAGGCAAAGACTCTAAACGGGAGATTGTTGATGGATTACTTGAATCAAAGTTTGCGATTAGAAGGGTAGTTTTGAATCAAAGTTTGCGATTAGAAGGGTAGTTTTGAACTTTCACTTCTCAGAACAGACGAGGATCAATGTGGGACATTACTAAAGTTCAAGAGTAAAGAACAATCACACAAATTTGTAACATTATTTCCTAAGAATTTAGAAGAAACGATCATTTCATGATACAATTCCTTTTATCTTGGAAATGAAAGTCCATGCATTACGTTCTTATGTGATTGTATTTACACATTAAAACAAAATTGAAAAGCGTACACATTTCATCTGGTGAATGGAAGAGGAATTATGAATTTCTATATGCAATCTTATACACCCAGGTTGCACGAAAACCATATATCGGTGATAAACCAAATAAAAAGAATTACATAACTAGATATAACTTTACATGTTCAAATGTAGTTGAATCGGTTATCTGAAAAATCACCTCATTCTGTGATGCTGCAGCTTCTTCAAGCTCAAATGCGGATTGCGTTTCCGACCCATCGAATCCATGAGAATACTGGTACAGCGAGGCATCAGCGTTAGGGGGGTTAGGATCAGGGTTAGGGTTATTAGTCGGGTATGAAGTGAAACTGCGCATAGTTGCCTGCTGATCTCCGTACATTTGGGGTTCAAAATCAATAATTATGGTTTTCCGAATTAGGGTTTTAGTTTCTAGAAATCTACAGGTCCTGTGAACGACAGGATCAGAGACTCGGAGTTTAGATTATTGAAAATTCCGAAAGCAGCTTTTGTTCTCTACAAACAGACCGAGTCGAGTTGGCTCGTCCAACTAACTCGTTTAATTTGTCTTAATAAAGTTTAAACTCATTGATGATGAGGCTTCTCCGAGTTGCTTCGGGAACGGATTAACCGTTCCCGTGAACACCGGGCCAAGGCCTAAGCATGTCGGGCTCAGCTCGGCAATTTGGTAGAGATTTACCGACGAGAGAGGATACCCAATTTCAAAATGTAGAGATTTACCGATTAGAGAGAATACCTAATTCCGTAAATATAACTGTTTTTTTTTTTTTTTTTTTTTTTTTTTAATTTCAAATTTTAAACCCTCAATCTTCAACTATAAATTTCCTTATCATTATTCACTCTTCACTCCATTCAAATCTTCTTAATTCTATTATCTTAACTTTCTTATTTTTCCATATTTTTCTACATCTCATCACTAAAAATGGTTTGTGTTTGGTTTCCTGATCTTACTCGTTCGTTTATGGATTGATGTAGCAGAAAATCCTACCTATAATGACATCCTTCCGACTATTTTTTGGAGGAGAGTCACTAACATATACAACCGTCAAATCCTTCAATCACAAAGAAAATATTAACTCTACGCTAAATGGAGAAACACAAACGCACTCGCAACTCAGTTTACCATTTTGTTTCGTAGGGTGATGCATGAAGCCGTAAATGGTGACAACGAAAATACTTTGTTAGAGAATATTGTTGAGGCTTACCGTATTGAAACTGACAAATATTTCAGGTTTATTGAGTTTTGACAAATTATGAGACAGTACCCCAAATGACGTCAATTTTGAAGTCTTTGTCTTCTAATTTCTAGTGGGTTGTGTGTTTGAAAATCTAGTGTGATGTTTATGAATTTTTAGTGGTCTTATGATATTTTTTAATTTCTATGTTTTTTTTAATGGAATTTAAGTTTCTAAAAAAAATAGTATGTTTGAAATATTTATTTTCTAAATTAATTTAAAAAAAATATTTAGCATAACAAGTGTGGTAACCCACATCATGCAAATGACAAGTTTTAGCTAAAACGTGGTAACAATGATGTGGCGTCTTCGTGCACGGTGACAAGTGTGACACCACGCCCACTAGTCTGAATGAGTGCAAACAAACATAGCTGAATACAAGTTTGACTATGCTCGAATACAAGTTTGACTCGACTCGTTAAAAATTTTAAGGCTTGAACTTAGTTCATTTTGGCCTTATCGTATGGAGCTCGAGATTGGCTCGTATAGGGTATACCTTATTTTTTTTTAAAAATTGTATTTATTAAATAATTATTTATTTTAATACATAAAAATAAAAATGATGTTGTTATTATGTATAGAGTAAATTACATGAAAGTTCCTTATGGTTTGAGGTAACTTACGCGTTTGATCTATATTTTTTTTTTAACTCGAACAGTCTTTTTGGTTTGTTTTTGTTGCATCGTTGGTCCCTACCATACATAAAAAGACTACTTTGCCTTTACTTACTTTTTTTTAATTAAATTGTCATTTATTTATTAATTTTATTATTTATTTAAACAATAAAAAATTAAAATGTAACCAATGTAATGTCCAAAAACACCAATAAAAAATTTCATTTTCAAACATCAAATTCATAATATTTGTTCCAAAACCAATCATAGTAAAATGCATCTCTCAAACATAAGAGTAAAACAATAATAATCTTTGTGGAAAAGCCATCAGGGGAAATTGTGCAATCAAGTCGAGTCATTCCCTTTGGAACTGAAGGTACTTAAAAATACTTAGACCACAAATTGTAAACACAAAGGTTAGTAAGTTCTCCAAAATACCACGTACCATACATAAGATAGTGCATGTTATGGGCCAAGTTATAGTCTTACAGGCACTCCATGCCATGGGCCAGCTCATGGTATTTCCTTGCAATGCCGATGGCTATATCCTTTACATACCAATGTCAGGGGTCACTACGTGGTCTTCCATGCAAGTATAACGAATACAACTAGCATCCTACATACAAATGCCAAGGGTCATATCCTGGTCTTAGATATAATTGCCAAGAGACAAATCCTGGTCTTTCATATAATTGCCAAGGGCCACATCCTGGTCTTCCATATATATGTCAAGGGTCACACTCTGGTCTTACATACAATTTCCAAGAGCCAAATCATGGTCTTTCATACTATTGCCAATAGCCACACCCTGGTCTTCATGCAAGTATCACAAAGATAACTAACATCCTACATAGTATAGTGAGAAGACTCACCTTGTAGACATAGTCAACAACTAACAACTCTTTTTCTCTCTCTTTCTCTCTCTCTCTCTCTCTCTCCCTCTTTCTCTTTCTCTTTCTCTTTCTTTCTTTCTTTCTTTCTTTCTTTCTTTCTCTCTCTCTCTCTCTCTCTCTCTCTCTCCCTCTCTCTCTCTCTCAATCAATGCACGAGTGTTATACACCTCATAATAAACCATAAAAGGTAAACCCTTAGTCATCCTTCTAAAACTATCAAATTGACTAAAAGTCAACCAAGTCAAAATCAACGGTTAAAGTCAAAGTCAACAGTCAAAAATCCTCATCAGCTGACCTTTACATTGTGGCCAGCCCATGGCCACTTCGTGCCCAACAAATCAGTCTTGATCTAACAGTTCAATTGCAGATAACTCGATCCCCATGTCGCGGCACACATGCCTCTGCGTCGTGGCTAACTCCAGACAAAATAGTTGAAGACTCCCATATTGCCATGTCGTGGCACCCTTCATGCCACGTCGTGGCCATTGGCTATGAACAACTTAATTAATTGAGTCCTTAATCCATTAATCCTTCAAATCTAACTTTCCAGAAAGCTTTTATGAACCCCAAAGGCTCATAAAAATCCAAACTTTATGGACATACATGTAATGTCCCATTTTCACAACAAAACTTTTTACTTTTTATTAAGGTAAAACTTCCTAATTTATTAATCCATTATTTAAGAAAACAATTTATTCCAAATTACTTTCATTAAAATCATAGTATTGTAGAAAATGCGGAATTTTAATGTTGTTGATGAGTGTGTACAATCTTGCTTTCGCCTTCCCTCAATCACCGAAGATACTTGAAAAAGTAAAGAACTGGGTAAGTGTAACACTCTAAATTTTCAAACAAAAATTCCATTTTTAAAATCACATAAAACCCAAAATCACATTTCTCAAAAACCACAAAATGTATGAGTTGTCAAAACACAAGGCAACAAATGTTTGATAATATTCCAAAATCCTCAAAACATAATCTCTAACTGGTGGTGTACAATCAAGCCGGCGCCTTCCCGCAATCCTGAGAGGTACCTGAAACACATATCACACAACACTTTAAGCATGAAGCTTAGTGAGTTCCCCAAAATACCATACATAAATAATTAGCCTCGCATGGCTATATCTCGATAAGGACCCTTTGGTCAGTGAAGACCCTCCGGTCTTCACAACTCGGGTTGGACCCTCCAGTCCTGTATCTCAGTGAGGACCCTCCCGTCTTACAAAGACATAATAACTCAATAAGGCACGGGATAATATAAAACATAAAATCACAAAGACATGATGCATAACATATCATATAACTCAGTATAAGCACATAAGACCCTTCGGTCAATAACTCAGATAAGACCCTCCGGTCACACAATATTACCACTTAGGTAAGTATAGTAAGAAGACTCACCTCGCAGAGCAAAACAATATATCCCACACTCGAACTGTTAGTCTAGAATCCGCCCTCCATAGTGAAACGACCCAAAAATACGACCCAAAAATTTTTGTTTTTAATATAATCAAAACTGTAATCAGAGTATCATATAATAAAACCATGCGTGATGTATTCCAAAACATGATAAGATACTGTGCGGAAAACTGTATCATACTACATCAAATCAAACAACTAAATCAATCCCAGGCTAAAGCTGAGGCGGTGGTGTGTGCGATGCCGTCATCCCGAGCTCTTCCCTTTGCTTGCGGAAGTACCTGAAACCAAAACTGAAACTGTAAGCACGAAGCTTAGTGAGCTCCCCCAAAATACCACATACCATACAATAACAATATCATATAAACACATATCGGGCCTTGCCCACTGCATCGGGACGAAGCCCGGAAACTGCATCGGACCGAAGTCCGGAACTGACTGGGACCTTGTCCCCTGCATCGGACCAAGGTCCGGAACTAACTGCATCGGACCGAAGTCCGGAACTGACTGGGACCTTGTCCCCTGCATCGGACCAAAGTCCGGAACTAACTGCATCGGACCGAAGTCCGGAACTGGCTGCATCGGACCGAAGTCCGGAACTGACTGCATCGGACCGAAGTCCGGAACTGACTGCATCGGACCGAAGTCCGGAACTGAGCATAGCATAGCATATCATAACAACTAGCATGAACACATATACTGCATACTGCATCGGGCCGTAGCCCGGAACACATAATACATAACACATAAAACATAGCTCACAAATCCTGTCTGAGCCACGAAGGCATCAAACATACTAACTACTGCATCGGATCAAGTCCGGAAACTACTGCTAACTGGACGGGCCGGCATTGTGGCCTTAGACCCGTCCCTACTGGAAGGAAACTCACCTCGTAAACTGGCGGCTGAGTGTGTGTCTCTGAAAGCTAACGGCTGCTGCTCCTGAATCTCCTCGGCTACAAGTCCATGAACACACTCAATCAAATACTAAACACTGCACTTGGGGTAAAATGACTCTTTTACCCTAGGTCAAAGTCAACTTACTTTTGGGGCTGACTCGCCGAGTTGGGCCGCCCAACTCGCCGAGTCTCACTCTCACTTCCAACTCATACTCACTGCGACTCGTCGAGTGTGGCATCGACTCGACGAGTACCCTCTTGATCCAAGAACTCAGACAATCTTCATCCGACTCGCCGAGTCGTATGAACAGACTCGACGAGTTGTTCTTGATCCTAAGGAGATTGCCTTGGACTCGCCGAGTTGTATGAACAACTCGTCGAGTCCCTCCATCACTGAGTCTACCCTCAACTCGCTGAGTCCACTCTCTAACTCACTGGGTGCACTCGCACTGCTAAAAACGAAGGAATCGGGGACTCGCGACCCGACTCGCCGAGTCGCTCATCCCGACTCGCCGAGTCGCTGCCATGCAGCTAGTTTTTACTCGATTTCTCTTGAATCCAACACATGCAAATGATAGATCTGGGTCCAATAAGCTGTTTTACCACGTAAAGTTTCCAACTTTACGTGCACAACCTCATG